ATTGCAATTGCATGTATAGAAATAGTTGGACAACAATGGCGAATCAACCTTGATTGTGTCCTCAGCTGGTAACACTATGCAAAATAAGATGCCAAACTCACCAGCAGCGTCAGTAACGCACAACAATACAGGAATGGAAACTCTATTTGACAGGCAAATGACGATCACTGTCTCTCATAATGTTTTGTTAGAGTTGTACACGTGCACGCTTTCATACGAACCAAACAATCTTTTGAAATTACAATGAATAATGCAGCGACAAGGACATAAAAATCATGCACTTTTGAAGTTTAGATCTTGAACACAGAACTATATCAGACTCAAACGTCAGTGTTTGACATCAGGGGTGTACTACACACTAACAATATTTACAATGGGTTTAGGATTACATGTTTAGATAGCAGTTGCTACCGCTAAATATAACATACATGCATTGTTAGGAAACTCTTACAGGTGCTACAGTACCTAACATTTCACAACCTCACTTCAACAAAGCAACACAGAGAGCTATGTGGAAGTGCACTCTCAGGTTTCTGAACACCAATATGCCTCTAAAAGGGAAAGTGGAAACATGAACCTTTACGCAAAGGTCAAAGACACACACAGAAACACAAGATTTTGGTGCGGTCTTGTATCTGTTCTCGTCTAATCTGAGACATCAGAGCCTGAAACAACAATACAGGCTAAACAGTGTCAATCAGAGTATGTTTTCTGGTCAAATTCATGTAATTAAAGCCTAATTAACTTGTAATTCTTCTGTGAAGCAGCTTCTAATGATCTGTTATTACTATAATAATTTAGTATGTTATCCATTTTTTAGAATACTATCATGGTAATTAGAGATTTACAACAATGAAAACATTAATGGGACGAGGTAAATATAGGTTAAATAAAACAATAAATCTCATGCTAACATGTTTTGGTCAACTTTGCACCAGATATATTTGAGTATTAAAAACAGAAATTTATCATGGTAAGCAATAGTTTCCTCCAAATTATCATAAATGCTACAGTGATAATACAATACTACATTACAAAAAAAATTCACTAATAAATTTCACCAAAAACATTACAAAGAAATGGCAAGTAACACTGAATGAAATGTGAAACTTGGAAGTAAAAAACCCTAAAATTGTATTTTCTTGTAAAACATTAATAATCTATGTTTTATTTACAACGTCAGAAAATAATTCGTTACAGTTTATAATAAATATACTATAAGAAAACTATTAAAAATACTATAATAAAGCTGTTAAAAAGTGGCAGTGTCCTGTACAATAAATTTAAAAAAATACTGTATGGTTTACTGATGGATGACAATGCTTCCATACATATAGCCTGATAGTGCTTGATTACCATATTATTTAATGTTCAAATTTTTACTTTAAGGCATCTCATAAAATAGCATAAAATGTGATATTAGAAAAATTGTGATGCTGTGCAGACATACCATGGTACTTTTTGACCCCATATTTATTTATTTATTATGATTGCACTTTCATAACAATGGTATATTGCCGTGAATTATGGTTGTAAATATTTATAAAGGATGTCTGCATAGATAAATATTATTGTTTAGGTTAACAACAAAAGCAGCCCGAGTGTGTCACATCAGCTCAGCTTACATAACATACATGCTTCACTGCATTAAACCTCTGAACTCAACCAGGTTCATGAGGATTTTAAGACTTTTAGATACAAAATGCTCATAAAAAATGTGATCTAAATGATGGAGGATGATCCATACGAGCATATGTGTATCAACAAGATCTGCAACATGCAGCTTGCGTTTTATAACCTTGTGGGCTGCCTAACTAGACCACATCAGTTTCATTTTAGGTACTTAAGGAATACCATGGCATTACAATAATGGACGTGTCTAAAACATCGGCACTAGTATGATTTTCCATGATATATTTATATAGCAATGGTGAATGTGCTGTTGGCGACCAAAATACAATCTAGATCAGAGGCTTGCTGTATTCTGAAACAGTCTATAATGCTCAAATATATTGCGTTAATTGCTGATTCCCGCCCAAAAACCCCGCAAGATCTTATGATGCTCGAATATGCTGTCTAGATAGGTAGCTCACTAGGTTTTGGGACACAGCCCATAGAGTGCAGTTTACGGGTTATATGTGTGTAAATACAGAATTACAAAACATAAGCACTAACCTTAATTGTCCACTCGAAGTCCTCCTGAGGGAAAACAGAGCCTTTTGCTTGAGACAACGAGGTAAAATGTGAATTGTTTAGATTGCGTCGTCTGAGGAGAATCCGTCTGTCAGTCCATCAGTAAATGGGTTAAAACTTCTCGGACGTGTTTTGGCGCAGATTGACAGGTATTCACGCAGGGGGGGGGGTCTTAAACGTTTTAACTGAGAACCATAAACGCGTTTTGATGCATTATAAAAGCCCTGAATTGCGATACAGCCGCACTTATTCGTTCGCTCGTCTGTCTTCCTCCCTCTGAGAGACTGTTTATCTGCGATCGTTGAGTTCTGCCTGCCGCGCTCGAGGGATCGACGTTCGATTGGGCTGATAATAAAAAGCCGGCGAAAGCAGCAGGTCTAGGATCAGTTCTCTGAGATGGAACGCCGGATCACGTCAGTTTAATTTAAACATCCAGACAGATCTCAGAACAGCTAAAAAAAATAAATAAATAAAAATCTCAGAACAGCTGTTGTCGGCGGCCGTCAGGCGGAGTCTGTTACGTATACGGAGGGTCTTTAAAAAATCATATTAAAAATCTAACGGGTTGTGAAACCGCAAAATGATAATGTAACGCTATCATATGTAGGGTATGTGTTTATTTCTTTTTGAAACATATTAAAAAGTAAAGAAAAAATAGGTTATGACATGTACAGTACAGTATCACAAATATTATTTTACAAATATATTAGCAGTTTACTCTTTGTTTGGACCTGATTTGACAATTTATATCACATAACTTTTATTTTGGTTAACACAGCATACTAAATGAACATGGAAAAGACAATAAAAATATAATCCAAGGCTGCCACCGCGTGGTATTGAGCGTCAAAACAGGGAAATACATTTTTTATTTTTTTTTGGGAAATAAACCATTTGATGATCGTACTTTCCACGAATGAGCAAAATATTTAGAGAAGGAGAAAAAAGAAAGTAAACTGGTTTCATGGTTTAGGTCAAATTTGACATGGACTTGCTTATAGTTGAACGCACACTTGTACAGACCTGTATATATTTCTAGAAAAATAAAAAAATAAAGAAAAGAAAAGAAAAAAGTAATAATGTAGATCAATGACGGAATGTATCGACAGTAATGCATTAACTCTTTAACCCTTTAACTGTCACTCACATTTTTGAACATAGACGTGAAAGTGCACGATCCAAACTTTAATTTTTATAATTCATGAACGAAAACATTTTGTAACATGATATTGATGTACCATTTTCATGGTAATGCAGTGTTTGATTTTAAAATGGGTTTCAAAGGATGAATGTTGAGATTTAACGTTTTCAATTGATATATAATTTCTGCTGATTTCTAAAGTGTGATTTAGAAGACTTTTTTTGACAAAGGTCAGAACTCCTGTTATGATGTAGATTTTTGAGGCGCACTCTTGTCATAAATTAATCTATTAATTTCCTACATAGATATTTTACCAATGTTTTTGGTAAAAATTATTTAGGAGTCTTAGACCTTTCCAACAATATATAGTTTGTCATGATTAGATTAGAATTTAATTGTAATATAGTGAAGTAAACTTAGGCGTCCCACAGAGGGGACGGGTGACAGTTAAAGGGTTAA